TTTATGCCTTTTCCTGAAAGTCCTGAAACATAAAAAATTTACGTGTAAAAAGGAATCTAATTTTGTTGGTTGCTGTGTAATAATTTTTGTATTTTAAGACTCTAGTTTTGCCAATAAACCAGTGACTTTTATTCGTTTTTTTTGCCTGATGATGATTGAAACTGACGGTCGAAACGTAGCAAGGTAATAAAAAGATCACTCCTAAACTATTGTTGGTTTATTGGCAAAATTAGAGTCTTGAAATATAAAAAATTTACAATTTTAATTACATATTGATTCAAGTAAACCACAAGTATTTTATTTTATTAATTAGTAACTGTGTACGTATATATCTAAGAGTTATTAAACGCATGTACAATACGGATCCTTTTAATCGCTGGACGCTGGTCCTTCAAGTCTGTGTTTTCTGTGATCCGTTGTCATTGTATGTAGTATAGCAATATACTGGTAAAAACAACAATGTTTTGTCAAGAGAACGAGCTTTTTAACATGGTCCTTCGAGCCGAATAGTTAAAAAGTATTCATTGTTTGTAGGTTCCAAAATCATCTTGGTCTTCTGTCACTCTATGAAACAGTATCACAATAAAGTTTTCTAAAGGTTTTCAGTTTTTTGCACCTATAGTAGGCCAGAAAAGTGTGAGAGTAAGTAAGACCATGAAGGAAGTATTTAGCGCGATTTCATTGAAATTCTTATGGTGCTCGTTTTAATCACGCACACGCGTGAGCCGTGCGACCGATCGTCTCGCACTCTTTTTTTATGAACGTACTTAGAATGCTGAGATCTCTAATTTTTAGGTACACACCTACTTAATACAGTCACGTAGAAAGCACGCTCGCTCGAGGAGAAAGACGAAGTCGTTATTTTTATTACTCCGCGTACGAGTAATAAAAAGAACTTGTTTGAAACGTTCCTTTATCTGATGATCGTAAACATTCCGAGGGATGTAAGTTATGTCCAGTTTCGAGTAACTTGGCACTTTTTCGATTAGGATAGCATGAAACGCGCTCGTATACTCCTCGAAGTTGTCGAGGAAATTCCCGCGCTTTCCATGGAAATCTATCCCCAAACAAATGTTACTTTTAATAGGACTACAGAAGAAAATCGCGATTCTCCCCAATAAGGCGAGTCCGTGTTTTGTAATCGTGGACGTCACAAAATCAATAATATATACAGGGTAAACTCTTTATAACGTCACTCGATTCAACGACAAACTCCTTAAAACGACGAAATTGCTTGACTTTGGTTTGTTTACATTGTTTTCTATACAATATTACACTCTATATAGCGTCACGCTCACTCTATTTAACGACAACAATGCGGCATTATAAGTCATTTAGCAGTACTTTCTAAGTTGCCGAAATAGATAGGAACTGCAGCTGTGTACGTTGTTGAAGAAGACGATCCTGTCCCTCCACCAAGCATCAAACAAGCACTTGATGCAGCGAAACTATAAAAAAAATACTTTTTATATGATCAAATTGATCCAGCAGTATCTCAAGATATGAATAAGATACGTAACAAAATACAATTAAAATATTGGAGCAGCAAAAAACATCAGACGAAGATAACAGGCTATACGCAATGTATGAATAATATTCATGTGCAAAATGTGTACTAGATTGGTAAATGCATATTATCATAGAATAGTAAAATAATATCTTTTGTTTCTCTCCATTTAACGACCACTCCTTATAACGCCGAATGTTCAGTCCCTTAAGTGTCGTTATATAGAGTTTACACTGTATATATATATATAGTAGAACCTGACGAAGCTTTTTTGGCAAATAAAATAAGATACGTAAATAATGAGCTGCAGAATGTCAATGAAATTGAGCATCAAGAAATTAGTCATCGTTAAAATTTGACAAAAGAAAATTAAAATAAATATAAATTTTATTCGATGGAGAAAACCTAGAAGAAGTATATACACTAGTGGCGAGTAGAGTATTAGACATAGGGGATACTCTTACATGCATCATCTTTTGAATAATACGAAATGATGTAGAAGAATGGTTATAATTTATATTCGAAGGTGTTCTGCTTTGTAAAACAGTTCGTTAGTTCACTTAGTTTAAGAGATGACGTGGATCAAAAAATATATTCCTGACGTTTATATACCAATTTATCCAAATTCTAATACAATTCCTATGTAATTTCTATGTTCACTGAACATTGGTAATAGAAAATCACATAAAATTGTATTTTCATGAGTAAGTACCTACTCATTGTCGGTTAAACAAAAGGATAAATTACATACCTAAATTTATCTACTTAAATACAGTACTGGTAAGGACCGTTTGGTTAAGACGGCAGATATAGTTCCGCAGTTAAGTGGTAAAAAATAGTCCTTAGGTATGCGATTTTACTGTATGATGTTGAGTTTTTTCGAAATTAGAAACATGTGGAATATGGAGAAAGTTGGAAGAAGTAGTTACGATTTATACCTTCTGTAATGAATGTTTCATGTTTCCTGCCACAAATAGGGTTGCCACCAGTACTTTATTATAAAGTATTGTACTCTATTTCGACTGTGCGTACGTTATACTTAAGTACGCAAAAATACTTTATTTAAGGCCTTAAGTAAACATCGTAATTTTGTAAGCGATTATTCGAAATTCAGAGTATTTTTACATCAATAATATTGCACAACAGAAAAAATGGCAAGCCGTATTTACAGAACAACCTCGTTTCCCAAATCTGTTCAAGGTAGTGTCACTTTTGCTGTCCGTTCCGGCCACTTCAGTATTTACAGAAAGAGTATTCTTTGTTATGAACCCAAAGTGGCGGGACGACAGGAATAAAGCTTCATTAAAACTACTTAAAAATGAATTTTTAGTTTACTTAAATCTTTGTTTGCCATGTTTAGAGGCTATTAATGTATTTAAGAGCGACAGCAATTTGTTACTGGCTGCTAGGTGTAACAAAAAATAAAATACTTTATTTTTATGCTGAGTACTTTTTTTTTTTAACCTTTTAGTCAAGAAATACTTTATGTAAAGCCTAAAAAGGTGGCAACCCTAGCCACAACGTAGAATTTTTTTAAAAGTGAATTGTGGTTTGTTCTTAAAAAAAGATTTTTAATGAATACTTAACAAAAAAAGAAAGAAAACGTATTTTTGGCCGCCCTGTTTCTTTTTCTGAACAAATTCCGTAATATCTGCGCCGTCGTCAACAACTTTCTAATTTTCCCTTTTCGTAAGCGAATTGCATTACAACGTTCGTAACCTTGGAGCACGTCGTAGCACATTCTTGCTTTAAGGATAAAGGAGAAAAGCACATGTCGAGAGAACTTTCACAGCGATCGGATTTTCCGAACCAGGATTTCATGAAAATGGCTCTGAAAAGCGTGGAAAGTTGTTGAAAGCTCAGGGCAGCTTTTCCGGGAAAGTCGAGAGCTTTCGCGAAAATGGCGTCATTCGAGACAGGATTGCATGAACGAAACAGGGGATGGTTTTTGATGCGTCGCGACGCCCGTCCGTAGCGACGTCACTGGATCGATAAGAGATAAGCGGATTAGCGGTCTGGCACACACGCGATCGTCGACGCTAAGCTGAATCTAGTTCAGCTTATCTAAATAATTTGAGAGTAGGAGAGCAGGAGGACGAGGTGGTCCTTCCGGACTGATAAAACCCACGCTTCCTGTTATTATCCTGAAAAATCAATGGAGTGGATCTCGTCAACACTAATAATAAGAATATGTGTGTAGTCAAGTAATTCAAATTTTACAATTTCGTCATTATTATTGATCATTAAAAAAAGGTAGGAAAAGCGTGAATATGCAGATAGGAGACAAAAAATTAGAAGAAGTTGTTTATTTTCGATATCTAGGAGTTCAGATAACTTAGGATGGAAGGAGCAGTAGAGATATAAAACAAAGTATAGCGCGGGATCAAGTCGCCTGCGATAAAAAGAAGTCACTTGTATGCTCTCTAACGGTTAATTTAGAACTTCAAAAAATATTGTTAAAAGCTCTGTAGTAAACGTGAACGGAAAGCGCTGCGGAATAAGTTAGAAGTGTTCAAAATATGGTGTTACAGGCGAATTATGAAGATACTGTGGATAAGGATGGTTATAGAAATGAAGAGGTGTTAGAAAGAATGTATAAGAGAAGAGAGGGAGTTATGAAAGTCAATAAAAAATTGGCGAGATAGGTTGGTAAGACACTTTCTCAGGCATGAAGGACTAGTTGAGGACATTTTAGGATTAAAAACAACAGTTAAGAGGAGTAGAGGTGGACCTAGATAAGATTACTGTTCACAAATAGTTCAGGATATGAGATGTTATAGTTTTAGAGAAATGCGAAGATTAGCTCAGAATAGGAAAGAACGGAGACTGTGTCTGACTAGTCTTAGAACTGAAGACCCTATAAAGATTTCCTGATTGATGTATATGTGATGTGCGATGTATCAAGGGTTTAGTTTGGGTTATTGTACAGGTGATGATCGCAATGATTAAAGTTTAGGTGCTAAGCACCAACCACAATAAACCCATCCGTTCAAATTTGGAGATGTTTAATTAGTAGGAATTTTTAAATTTCACTAATTAGGTTTCTGTACTCTGCCAGTTTTAAATGAGGCGAAGCCCATGTCTAAAGTTTGAGAAGGTCTCCCTTTAAAAGGCGGTTTACTTTCTATCGAAAATATGGTTTAAGTTATTTAAAAATGTTCATATTAAATAGTTAATCTTCACTATTTTATTTTTCATAAATTTTGTTCTAAATATTTGGGATATCCACCATGCCCATATAATACATTCACTTCACGCCCATAATGTAAGGAAAAGATTGTTACATAGTTATAATTAAATATATAAGAGTAGATCTCGCAACAATTTATATTTGTTTACGGAAATCAAATTTCAACACTGTTGTCTTCAAAATGCATTTCTTCCTGATTAGCCGCAGACTGTCCACACACTTCCTGATGTGATTATGAGTTTTACATGGTGGAGATACATACTATTTTTGCATATAAAATGCAGTAGTTTGTTTACACTCTAAAATAGTATCAAATAATTGTTTTAACCATTTACTGACTAGTCTTGAGAGTAGTACGTAATATCTACAAGCAATGCCGTTGTTAAAAGTTCGGGAACCTGCTCTTAATCAACTTTTGGAATATGCCCAAAGAACAAATAAGGTAAAATTCATTTATTTAATGCAAGTCATTCGTTTGTTAAAATATAGAGTTCTATAAAAAGTAAAACGATTACAAATACAAAATACAAATTTTTATTCTCTGTTTTAAATTTTATCTAATACCTTCTCTCTGTTGTTTTGATAATAATTCAGATATTATATCAATTTTTGCTTGTATTTTTTGAAAATTCAGTCGCAGTTATCACTAGGTACATTAGTTTTCAATTAAACAACGATTTTTTTCAAAAACATCAGTGTGTCTTATATTAATTCTGTACAATTAAAACGTGAAAATAACATTGAAAGCTTGGGTGAATGTTTGTCTGCATTCCTTGATTATTTTCAGCCAACTGGTTCAGCCACGACAACTAGCGGAAACCCTATTGTCGAAAAAGACGCTTCTCTTACAGCAGGCCCGAGAGGGGTAATTCTGTTTCAGAATTATGACATGGTCGATGAATTAGCCCACTTCGATAGAGAACGTATTCCCGAAAGAGTCGTCCATGCTAAAGGAGCTGGAGCTTTCGGCTACTTCGTTGTTACCAACGACATAACCCAGTACACTGCAGCATCTGTTTTTTCTGCGATTAACAAAAGAACGTCTATTGCCATAAGATTTTCAGCGGTAGCCGGAGAAATGGGATATGCCGACAGCGTTAGAGACGTCAGGGGGTTTGCAATTAAATTTTATACCGAGGATGGCATTTGGGATCTCGTTGGCAATAATACGCCTCTTTTCTTCGTAAAAGATCCTGTCAACTTCATGAGCTTCATCCACGTGTTAAAGAGGAATCCTGTAACGCATTTGAGAGATCCAGAACAGTTCTGGGACTATCTGACCCTGCGTCCAGAATCACTACACCAAACCATGATCGTCTACACCGATAGGGGAATACCAGATGGTTATCGACACATGCACGGCTATGGTGCAGACACATTCTCCTTGTTAAACGATCAGGGTGTTCTGGTTTACTGTAAATTTCATCATTTCACGGATCAAGGTATCAAAAATTTAGATCCTCAGGACGCAATTAGGATAGCAGGTGAGGATCCTGACTACTTCACGCGGGATTTGTATAACAGCATTGCCGCCGGGAATTACCCCTCTTGGAGAATGTTCATCCAGGTTATGACCCAAAAACAAGCTTTAGAGAGTCCTTTCGATCCTTTTGACGTTAGCAAAATTTGGCCCCACGCCGACTATCCTTTGATTCCTGTTGGAAAATTCGAGTTAACCAGAAATCCTGACAACTACTTTGCCGATATAGAGCAGTTGGCGTTTGATCCTGCTCATTTAATCCCTGGAATCGAGCCATCTTCAGACAGATTTATTCAGGGGCGACTGTTTGCTTATGGGGACACCCAGAGGTACCGTTTGGGGACTAACTACAATCAAATTCCCGTCAACAACAATGTTCGAGTACGAAATTTCAGCAGAGACGGGAAGTTTACACTCCATAGCCAAAACGGTGCCCCCATTTATCATCCCAACAGTTTTGGGGGACCGGAGCCGGATCCTAGAGCTAAAGCGCTGTCCCCAGAATTCCCGATTGTTGGTAATGCTGTACGGTACGATAATGGTAATGATGATCCCTATTCACAACCCAGGGTACTTTGGGTACGAGTTTTGGATCAAGGGGAAAAAGAGAGAATGGTAGAAAACATTGTACTCGGAAATGGACTTATGGCACTAAGAGATGCTTCCGATTTCATTCAGAACAGAGCCATCGTTAATTTTACAAACGTTCATCCCGATTTTGGTAGAATGGTACGGGATAAATTGAGCGCTCAACTTCAATTCACTGCTCAGCTATAGTTCGATGTGTAGTGCAAGGGAGAGTATTGGAAACAAAAAAGAAATTCTTAACTTTACTTATCTAATACCTTGGTGATATGTTACTTTATCTATCTAATAATGTCAAAAAAAAATTAATAGACGTAGATGCTACGTATTAGAAATAAATAAATGTGGGTATTTTGGTGTATTAATAAATTCGTTTGCTTTTTAATTTTTTTTTAATAATCGAGTATACCCATCAGAAGTGTCACAAAAACGTATTTCGTTTTACATTACAAACGGAAAAGAACCAAGAATTCCAAATGCGTAAATGATGATTATAAGTTTAATTATGCATACGTATAATGAAATTTCTTCATTGTATTCATAAGCGGAAGGCGTGTCATGATTAACAGAGAAGGAAGTTGCTAACACATGCCGGTTTTCTGTTAGGCTCCCACCATTTTGTGTGTGTTCACTGGAGCGTGAATTTATTGGAAAGTATAGTATCGGAGGAATAGGAGTTCATAAGCAGTTATAGACTATTCAATGACCATAATCTTGTTTCCTATTGAAGAATAACTGATATGTGTATGGTGCACATATTTATATGTAGAAGGAACAGAACGTATTTTTCGAACCTCTAACTTTTTTTAGGGATTTAGGTTTTTTGGTGGAAACAAATTTAATTAACAATCGCTGAAGGAAGAAGTGGAACAGTTGAATAATAGATCGGAAGTGTTAGTAGTTTTGAAAATAAATTTTGACGAAGATTAAAAGGGTGGAGCTAGAAGTATTTTAACTAAAGTAGGGATCGAATCAGAAGATAATGAAATTTGGAAAGAGTGATTAGATGAAATACTAAGAAACAGATTTCGGCCCAATGTAGCTAGAAACCCAATATTAAAATGCAATTAAGAATTATACACCTCATGCTGTTAGTAAACGAAATTAAAATGTTAAAAGATTAGTGGAAAGTACAAGTAATAAAGTAATTTGTAGAGATAATAATAGAAAGGTACAGATACAAAAGGTTTTGAGAAGATACATTTGAAAGGATATTTATATATTTTAATAATAATAGGAGATATTTACAATAGAAAGAATTGAATTATACATTACAA